AAAAAAAAAAAAAAAAAAAAAAAAAAAAAAAAAAAAAAAAAAATTATGTATTTGTATATTTATATATTTATATATAACAGAGGGAGAATATTAAAATGTTCCTAATAAAATTATATAGTAGTTTGAATAGAAGGTTACTGAGAGCCCATTTTCTGACGTTCTTCATTCCAAAACTCATGAATCTCTTACAACTCTTGCAAGGCAGTTGTCTGTAGGAGTTGGCAAAGGCAGGTGATTCTCTGGGCAATTTGGATTCACTCTCTCAAGTCTGCACAACAAAAATCAAATTTCTTGTAAGCCGAGCTTTGATACCATTTGTAACAAACTAAGTCTACCACTAATAGATATTCTCCGTGTTGACTCGTTATGTATTGCTGTCAGCCTCATGATTTTTAAAATGTTAGGAAGAGGTTTCTACATCCTTATAAGAATGGTTCGTATCCCTCTTCAACCGATGCGTGATCAATAAATATTAGTTAACAAATAGTTTTGGATCTCTCACCTGAACCCACCATGGATGAAATAGTGAAGGAAAATGGCGATTTCGAGTTTGGAAAGATCAATTCCTGGGCAAAGCCTCATTCCTGCTCCAAAGGGAATGAAAGATCCAGCTCTCCGTTTTGGATTCTGAAACCAAAATGGAAAAGAATGTAATGTTTTGTTTATGACATTATATGAGAGTATTGATTTTGGTTATTAATGGAAGCTACTTACATCCCATCTAGATGGGTCGAACTGGTGTGGGTTCTCATAGATTTCAGGGTTCATATGAACCGCTCTGGTCCAAACAAGGATCTTCCATCCTTTGGGTATGGTGTACCCTGAAAATCAAACCAATTTATGAAAAAAGATAATAATAATAAAATTATTTTCGATGAAATTTAGATTATCCATTCAAACCAACCAACCAACCGTTTAAGTTAACGTCAACTTTTGTCTCCCTCGACAATGTGAACGCCAAACTTGTCTTCCTCAACGTTTCATCCATCACCTAATCAAGCAACAAATACAATATTTCATGGACTTTTAAAAAAAAACAAAGTTATTTAAGAGTGTGTATTTGGTAGTAGGTGAATGTTTAATTTGTTAATTAATGTGGTCAAACCCAGAAATATTAGTAAACTTGGGGGCTAATTTATAATATTTGGAAAATAGAGGTACCTTAGAAAGATACTCCATTTGTTTGATTTCCTTCATGGTTAAGCCTTTGTGTTGGGCATCCGCCGGCCTTGCATTCACAATTTTCTCTTGCTCGGCCTGCACAACAACACGACCATTTATATCGATCGAGAATACATTACTTGTTCGATAAGTTAAAAGAATGTAAGAACGGAAATGAACCTTAGCTTTAAGAAGGGTTTCGGGATTTTCAGAGAGGAACATGATAGCTCTCATGATAGTATGAGCAGAAGTTTCGTGGCCAGCGAAGAAGAAACCGATCAACAAATCAATAATGCAACCATCATCTAAGCCTTCCCCGTCTTCGTCCCTAACCTCTAACAGCAAATCAGCCATATCTTTTTTTCTGTTTTCTCCAACTTTGTTCTTCAAATTTTCCCTCTTCTCTTCCAATACTTTTTCAAAGATCCTTATCAGCTCATTTCTTGCCTGAAATTAAAAAAAATATATTATTATTATTATTTGCCTAGTTTGACAAGAAAAGTAGTTGACCAATAGGGTTTGTGTGAATTGCCACATATGTTTTTTAGCTTTGAGCAAGTGGGATTATTGATATAACAATAATTCATTTTTAAATTAGTGTTTGCCACCAAAGTCATGTGTCTACTTTTCACACACTTTCAGTATACAATAATAATAATAATAATAATAATAATAATAATAATAATAATAATAATAATAATGAAGGTGTGAAAAATAGGCACATGACTATATATTAAACCAAATATATGCATTATTATAAAATAAAGTATTGGAATTTTATGTTAAAACAAAATGCTTTAAATATTTTTAAGAAACTATCACAAATTAAAGCAACTTAAAGTCTTTTTTTTTTTTATATCGATTAGATAAATAAATTTATAATATGAAACTAGCCCTATAATTAAGACATTTTTTAGTCATAAATTTAAATATTTACTTCATATATTATATATATATATCGTTAGAGGGATTAAGACATTTATTAGTAGGTTTTGATTTTAATGTGTATCGTATTTAAAATTCATAATACTAATAATATTATTTAGGGGATAAAAAAGTTATTAATTAGATTGAGGGTAAAACATGATCTATTGTTAAGGATTGTTGGGATTGAGTCCGGCTTAAGTAATTTAGAGAATGATCATGAGTTTATAAGTGAGATACGTATGAGACCTTTTGGGGAGGCTTAAAGCTTACGAGAATTTAAGTTCAAGAAAGTTCAAAGTGGACAATATCATATCATAATATTATATATTGTAAAGGATGCTAAGATTGGAGATGGATTTTGAATTACCTTGAGAGCTCGGCTGAAGGTAGTTCCGGGGATATCCACGGCGGTGGACATGAAACCCAAGTGGAAGTCATTGTACAGCTTCTCCATTTTGTCGATGAAAGCCGCCGAATTAGCTCCGATAAAGATGTGTAACAGAACCTTAAACGCCACCGTTTTCATCTCCGACAGGAACTCCACCGGCTCCTTCATGCTGCCCCACTCCTCCAGGCACGTCACCACTATCCCCTCCACGTGTCCTATGTACAGCGACAATGCCTCGTTGCCGCTTATCAGCGATGCAATCAGCCGCCGTAGACGGCGGTGCTCCGGCTTGGGGACGGAGTTGAGAGCCTTGCTTCCGGTGAGGATTCTGGTGGCTTTTGAGTAACCGAATACGAATTGTTCGTCGTTCATTAGCACATGACGGCACACTTCCGGCACCGTCACGATCACGCTTGGGCTCCCGAATAAGTGGGTTTTGTACATCCCTGTTTTCCCGTACCTGAAAAATTCATTGAATTTTAAAAACCTTCTATTTAAAATTTAATTTAAAAAAAAAAAAAAAAAACTGGTATCCGACGAAAACTCCGGCGAGATTTACTTGGAGGTAAAGTGATGAATGAAGGAGTCGGGTCGACCCGATCGAAAAGCTTTAAGAAAGGGGAGAAGAGTTCCGATGAGAGGCCAGCCCATATCGCCGGGAGGGAGATTGTAACGGCGGCCGTGTCGAGTGACAAAGCGCCATTGGTTAAGGTTTCTGAGAATCCCAAATACAAAAACGTAAACTCCGGCGAGAGCTCCGATGAGGCATAGCCAAATATCCATGTCCATGTATATGGATTTGGTTGTGAATTTGAGAGGAGGAGACGGCAACGCATTTATAGCGGTGGATTCGAATTAGACTTTTCTGTTCCTCTCTACATTTCCCATTTCCTTGAATGTTTCTATTTCTTATTTTTCCTCTTTTTTTTTTTTAATTATTTTTCTTTCTTTTTGTAAATTAAATAAAAAGTGTTCTTAACTTCTCTTTTTAAGTTTTCCCTAGTTATTCTCTTCCACCTATGTACAATATCATAATATATAACTACCATTTAATTTTTTGATTTAAGTGGATAAACTAAATTTTATTATAAAGGTGACTCATTCAATCCTCCACCTCAACCATCGTAGTATTTCAAAATTTTAATTTATTATGGAAAGAAGGTTCATCTAAGGAAAGTTGCATCTTCTTGGTTGGTTTACGATTTAAACACGAATTGAGGAGTTGCTAATAGTCGGGTTAGAACGTTTTTAATTAAATCAAGAATTTTGGTTGTTTGGAAGACTGTTCTTCCTATTTTAATTCTTTATGTTGAAGAGAGAAAGATTTAGAGACCAAAGGAAGATTTTTTTTTTTTTTAATTTTTTAATTTATTGGTTCTTAGAAACTGACAAGGGTTCAAAATTAGAGGGTGAAAGAGAAAACTTAATGTTTGATTTTGGATGGCTACTTTGGGTCAAACTTGTGCTACAATATTTTCAGCCTTTTGTCTTTGTTTATTACCATCCCTTTGAATCAGCTGTTTTAGTATTCATATTATAATAATTAAATAAATGTGAGAACAAATAAGCTTTTTTTTAAATGAAAAAAATTTGAACTTTTAGTCAATTTTCAAATTTTGAAAACTATATATTATAAACTATGCCCTTTCCCTTTTCTTCATTTTAAAGATAAATAAATAGAAGCATGTGATGATTTTTTTTTTTTTTTTTTTAATCTCATTTTTTATGTTCCACGTCATAATTTTGACCCGTTTAGAATAGGCATTTAAAAAGAATTGAAGTTTTTATTTTCATTTTTTCGCTTCATTTGTGGCTTCATCATTCGACATCACCTTGTCATCTAGGTTCCCAACAACATGGCTCACGTATCGTGATGTCATCCCAACTCCCTGGATGCCATTGACCATCATAGCTTGCTCCAACTTGTTCGACTAATCTTATCATCAGAACATCCTGAACAAGTCTCAGCAAGTTATGATGTCCAATGATATCTAGGACTTAGGAAGGCATCATGATACATGGTCTATGTTGTTGGGAACCTAGATGATAAAATGATGTTGAGATCAAATGGACGATGTATATGAGAGACCTTAGACTAGAATTACAAGGCAAGGATGAGCCAAATGACTTGGTTTAGAGATGAGGCAAGTCGGCCAGAGTCATAGATAATTGAACAAGCACACACGAGGACATGTATGGCCGAACAGACTTTGCTATCGTATGAGTTTTATTCGGTTGGCAAAAAAGAACTTCACCTAACCTCTGATAAAGCCATAAAGTTAAACAAAAAATAGAAACAGACTTTAAATTTTTTTTTTAAACTTGTTATGAGCGAGTCAAAATCATGACACTGCATGATTAAAAATGTATATGAAATTAAACGTCAATAATACATAAATATTAATCTCTAAATGGTTCCAATTTTCAATATTAACTCATAATATTACTTGGAAAAATAAAATAAATAAAAAACTTACCCGTAAGTAGTCAAATTTGTATTAATTGATTTTAAAAAAAATATATTTTTTTAATAAACAATGGATTATAAGAAAAAAATGGATATAAAATTAATAATGAAAATTCTCAAAATAATATAATAAATAACAACAAATTTATAATTAATAGAATCACCCGTCAAGTATAGTGAAAGCATATACCTTTGTTATTTAAAATATTTTACGTAAAATAATATTATTTAAAAAAATATATATTTTAAAGTATTTAAACTAGAAGATGGATTCAGTTACGTTTTATTTTATCTCAAAAAAAAAAAAAAAAAAAAGTTATTTGGTCGACACATCAGTAGATATCAATGACATTTTCCCTAGAAAAATCTCACACATAATTAATAGAAATTTCAGAAAATGAATATTATTTAAGTAATATTAAAAAAAGCGATTAATATCTAAATTTAGTTGAGGTATGTTAATCAGATATATAAATAAAAATGGGAAGCATGATTGAATTTGGATTGTATTTTTCATTTTTTTTTTTAATTTTTTTTTTTATGATTATAACATTTACCTAACAATTTCAATATTCAAATGTAAAATGTTCATAAATGATTGGATGATATTAAACGACGAATTATTCCTCAGAATTTCTTTTTTCTTTTTTGAGTTCGTCCATACATTATTATATGGAATCTTTTTCGAATTTATTTTTTATTTACCCTTTTTTTAAAAAAAGGGCAACTTGTGTAAGGTCAACTAATTAAAGTAAGTTAAGTACAAAGTCAACTAATCAAATTAAACATTTATTCATTTCATATGGATTAAAAAAATTAAAAATTATTGCCTCCACCAATAAGGTATACCTTCTTTTTCGACGACTCAATCCTAAGAATTCCACAATGGTGGGAAGTATGTTGAAATAACTTGTATTAGGTCTATAAGGACAATCTTCACTCTTAAAAGCGAGAAATAAGTAACGTAGTCATGTCACAAAGGATGCATGAGAATGCTGAAGCACACCTGTGTTGGAATCGTGATCCAAATTTTGGACATAGGTCATGACATAAAATTATTAAATTTTTGACGTTCAATTAATTAAACTTGACATTTTCTTCTTCTCACCAACTTCTCGAGTTCGATTTCTTTTTAAACATAAAAATATGAAAAGATATTATTTATTTTTGTTTGGTGATGACATACCTAAATTGATAGTTCATCCTTAAATTATATTGAGAAAATATTTTAAAAAAAAATATATGTTAATTAGAAATTATATTTCTTCCATTAGGTTTATATTGTGGGTTGTAATTAGGAATTAAGATAAACAAAAGTTGTGAATTTAATTTATATAAATTTAAAAAAAAAATTAAAGTCAATGGTAATTAGTTTGATATGTAAACAAAATATTTATAAAGTATGGATCGCTTTCAATAAATAAAGCTTTGTTGGGTTTTTTTTTTTTTTTTTTTTTTTTTGGTCTTAATTTCCATTTTTAATGTTAAAAAAAAAAACAAATAATACTTGTTTATTGAATTTAATAATTAAAAAAAATTATGATTCTGTTATTGAGTAGGCGAAGGGGCATTGAATCTGTTTACAATAATATTATAATTTGTTAATCAAATTGACAACCAAGATATGTTAACCTACTCAAGATTTCATTTTTTTATATCCATTTATTCACCCACTTTTGGTTTAAACATATTTAAAATTAAAATCTGCAAATAATTACGTTTTACACCTGAAATTGTTACTTTTTTTATTTTTATTTTGAAATTCATAGGATTGAATATAGTTTAGTTGTTTAACAAATTTAACTACTCCCATTAAAAATAAATAAAAGAAAATAAAAATAGGTTGAGCCGTTGAACTACACTCATATAATATTCACTAGAGAAGATTTGACGAAATCAAATCAAAGTAGGTCCAAAATTATGCGAAAAATGATACTTATAGCATTGAGACTGAAGATTATAACTATAATACACCAAATCCACCGTTAATACATATTGTCTATTTTGACCCGTTATATATAATTGTTTCTCATGATTATAAAATGGTTTTAACAAAAAAAAAAAAAAAAAAAAAGGGTTGTTTAAGAATTGAATTAAAAATTGGAAAAGATGAACGAAAATGAAGAAGAAAAGTTAGGTGTTGGTGAAATAATCATGGTAAATTATGTCTGTTTAAACACGATTAGCAAATAGTTAAGTTGATACTTATACACATAATTAATTAGAGGGAAACGTTAAACTATTAAATGTACCGCTAAACAAATTGAGTCATTTAGACAGAGAGAGAAAAAATTGGGTTATAGATCCACCTGCAAGAGGTGGGTAGCCTTAACCGGATGTGTTAACAGGGAAGCCCGAAAGCTGTTCCCGACCCTGTCAGGGGAGATGCCAACCATCTCTCCTTTAATCGAACACGCTTACATACCTCCTTAACGTCTCTTTATATTGACAACCTTGATTGATAAATTTTCCGATGTGGGACTGACGTTTTTTGAAAATCTTCCAGATTTTATTTAGTGGGTGGTACACTAGCGTTATTTTTAAAAAAAATAAAAAAAGAAGAATGGATACTTTCAACTAATGAAAAGAGAATGCAATGCGAACTTCCCATAACAATTGTGAAAAAGAAAAATAAATAAATACACAGGTTGATTATGTTCAAAGACGGGAGCTTATTTGGGAGCTGATCTCGAAACAGTCTTGTTTTTATACATAAAAATGCAGGATTTTCAAGGTCTGCATTTATTCCTCATGCTCAGTGTTAGGATCTTTCAAGTGTGGGATTCAACAAGTCTTTTATATGATTCTCGACCCTCTTGCGGACTGAAGCGGAAGGCAGCCGTTCGATCACCTCGGCTCCGAATGAAAATATCAGAGCCTTTCTCGCTGTCTCTAAGTCAATGCCACGAGCCTGAAAATAGAAGAGTTGGGTTTCCTCCAGGTCGCTTATAGCAGCTCCATGTGAGCATTTGACATCATCTGCGATGATTTGAAGATTCGGTTTCACATTCACGGTTGCTCGAGGTTCCAGAAGAAGACTCCTTGTTAGTTGTCCTGCATCTGTTTGCTGTGCGTATCTGGAGAAATCATGTTCTAGAATTAAACAACCACCACATGATACAGTAGTTAGCAAGACAAGAATGAAATGTGTGATATCAAGCGCCAAATGTAACACGAGAAACGTGCGACAAAGGTGGTCATTTCCCAAAATACTAAAGTTTTGCCATCCCACCAGTACTTGCCACCAACAGAACTTTCAAGATACTAAGCTTTCCTAGTAGAACTACCACTTCAAGCGTCTTGTCTTTTCTTCTTGGCATATCTATGTATTCATATTTGATTGACAAGTTATTGTGGACATATTTTTAATCATAAAGCGACCAAGAACTACAAGGAGTGTAATGATATGACAGATGATGAACTTGTGCTGAGACAATCCAATCTACAGGGACAAAGAAAGAAGTACCTGTTGACTTTTACATTACCATCAAATACAGCTTGTCCTTGGGGATTCGCGACAATACATTTATGAAGTTGTCGAGAATATGCTCGTGGATGGTCGAGGACTAGGCTACTGTGTAGATCTTGTGTTTGATTGCCAACTGATAAGTGCAGTGTTGATAATTCTGTTGTGGTCTCTGGTCCCAGTTGCTTGATATGGACATTGTGTCTGCTTAATTTTCCACCGGTGCTAATTTCCACAAGCTCGTAGGCACTGGTCGATTCCTGTAATAATTTCAGATAATTATTCATGTGCCACACGCAACCTTCCGAATGCCAGAGTTTAGTAGAACATACAAAACATGAGACAGCAAATAACAATGGGAACAAGGAGTGTCAAAATGGTTAGAGAGCATGTGTAGATCTCTTTTACTTGATTATCTCATATCGTGTGATATGGGCTACAATAATGATAAGGGGCTTAGAGGTAATAGGTTCAAACTATGGAACCCACCTATCTGGAATTCAATATCTTCTGAGTTCCTTTAACAACCAAATGTAGTAGGGTCTGTTGTCTGAGATGTGCGCATCAGCGGGCCTAGACTATAACGTGCTAGGGAGGCCTACCGTTAGCAGATATTGTCTTTTTTGGATTTTCCCTTTCGGGTTTTTAAAAGGAGAGTTTTCCACACCTTTATAAAAAAATATTTTCCCTCTCCAACCGATGTGGGATCTCAAAATCCACCGTCCCCCCTTCGAGGTCCACCATCCTCGCTGGCACTTCGCCCTGTGTCTGGCTCTTATACCAATTGTAATAGCTCAAGCCCACTACTAGCAGATATTGACCTCTTTGGGGTTTTTGTTTTAGGTTTCTAAAACGCGTCTGCTAGGGAGAGTTTTCCACACCCTTATAAAAAAATGTTTGTTCTCCTCTCCTATCGATGTTGGATCTCACGTACACTCATAGATATTTAAAAAAATTGAGGAAAGAGGTGAACCTCTACTAGCTATATCCACCCATCATTGAAGTTCCAAAAGAAGTTCACTAGGATTGTTCTCAAGTTTATTATAAATTGAAAAGAAAATTTGACTTCATAGGTGATAGTTGTAAGGGAAACCAACGTATGACAATGATTGAAATTCGAACCACCACATTGAGGAAAGAGTTGAGACAGTCTACCCATTTTACACACATGAGAAATCATGATCAAGAGCTTTATTGTATGGCTTTTGGCCTTATGGTGTATGTACAAGTTCTTATTTGTCAATGACATCCACGTTACTTGCTACACTCATAAGCATCTAGCTTGAAAGAAGTCCTAGAAATTTTCACAAAAGGGAGGGAAAACAGCAACTAATACAATCAAAAGACCTATATCTTCAACAAATCAGTACTATAATTACTGGTTTACACGATATAAGCATAGGTTTCTCCTAAAAGATGCTTCCAATTCCAAATCACAAACCTACATACGATCACTGACTAACAAAGTGGATCCAACATTGATCAAAACAGGTAGCAGAAATATTATAATTTGGAGAGTCAACAAAGTTAAGTAATGCAATCAGGGATTACCTGATGAACAGAAGTCCATTTGATATGTGCAGCATCTAAAGACTGATTCTGAATATAAGAATGTTTAACCTTTCCTCCACTTCCAATCACCACCTCCAAAACAGGATTCGCCCAATAGTACCTACCCCCACCCTCACTCCCACTCAAAAACTCCTCAATTATCTCAATCTCACCTCCATTTTCCACCAAAACCAACACCCTGGGATTCGAGACGGCCAATTCCTTTGACCCCTCCTCTCCCCCACTAATCGAATAATACCTCAAATGGATTGGATTCTCCACCTTACACCCTGCAGGGACATAAACCACCGTCAAATCTGGAGCTCCAACGCCATTAATGGACCAAAACAAGTCCCCCACGAACTTCCCATCAACAAACTCAGATACCCTCTTCCCAACACTGTCTGAAGAGAGGTCATTCAAACTCCCCACATATACCCCATTTGGCAATTCCGTCAAATTAGAAATCGAGTGGACGAAGTGACCATCAACAATCACAAGATTGGCGAATTGGGTTTCTACAGGAATGCTGGATAACTCAGAAGACTGCGGCGGATTCGAAATTGGGTGGATTTGGGACTGCTTTATGAAAGAAACATCGGTGAAACGAAAGGGCTCGTCTCTACGAGAGGGCCATGGGGTCGAGAGAAGAGTCTCTGCCGAAGATTCCCTAAGTTTCTGGAGAGGAAAAGGCGATGAAAAAGAAGAAGAAGAAGGGAGCGAGTCTTCGAGAGTTTCGGCGAGTTGAATTACAAAGGGGTCGGAGAGTAAAGGCGGGGAAGCTTGAAGAGAGACTCTGGTGGTGGTAACGGAGTTGAATTTGAGTTTTTGTTTTGAGGAAGAAGTGGGAACTGAGGGAGATGATGTTGGTAGCCTACCGATATGAGGAGTGAATGTGAAGGTAGCCATGGGAGTAGCTTGTTTGAGCTCCAATGATGGAAGTCAGCGGCTGCAACCGATGCTAATCCAATCGTGATCATGGGGTTTGGGCTCTGTTTTTTATTCGGGCCATTGGGCTGTCTCATCAATCTGAATCTCATCGATTCGCATTTTATGTGGGGAATTCAACGCCACCCTCATTCAATTCAAGTGTAGCCACCACAAAATTCTAAGCGTAGATTTCTAAAAAAAAATAATTTAAAGAGTATGTTATAATAATAAAATTTATGAACTGATATCTCAATCATTAGTTAATTTTTATATGAGAGTGTTCGTTGTTTTATTGGATTCTTTATTTGGGGGGAAAAAACGAAAAGGTTGGTTTCAGATTGTTGTTCACTATGGAATGGCTTTTCTTCCTTAGCCTTTAAACCTAAATGCCTCCAAAGAATATATTGCTGACTCAATTGTACCTCCAAACAACTCAACATTAGTTTTCATTCTAACAACTTTCTGTTTCTTCTCCCTTCTTTTTCTTTTTCTAACACGGTTCTTTATCTCCTTCCTTTCGCTATTAGTTTATTATAAAAGATTCGCTATCATATCAAATGGATACCTTTTTTAATTTCTTTTGACGACGACATCAAATATTGCTATCAAGTTACTTATTATTGAGGTATGTTGTCTCGGGAGATGAATATGCTTTCATCACCACTTTTAATGCTTTAATTTTCAAGTAAAGAAGAGATATAACATGAATTTAGATCATATCTTAATGAGACGGAGTTAATTATCTTTAGCTTGAAATATCTAGACGGTTTCCTAAAAAGTTAAAACGAAATCTTTTCTAAGCTAACTAAAATTTGTAATATACCACACATAAAAGAGATAGCACCAATGACTACAAACAAATACCATGGTTACTGCATATACTATGACATCAAACATTTTTTTCTGGTCAAGATTCTAGAATAACACTCCCCTTTATTCCCGTATCGAAGACCGACAATAAAAGGTGTTGGCTTCGGGACCCGTTGAGATTTCAATCTCACGTAATGTTTTTGACCTGACATCATGTTAAACCACCAATGAATTCAAAAGCTAGGCCGAACGATCTTTGTACTGTGTTTTTCCCCTCTTAAGGTCAAAACCTTGTTCATTGCATATAGTTTATGTGTTGAGTATGGTCTTCAAGCTCAATGTCGGCTGTGTAATTCGAGTACGATGAACTCGGAGACATTTCGGTGTGCTCGTATGACTGCCAACGCATTGTCGAACCCAAATACTCGAACTGAGGAAAGCATACAGACATAGCTCCTTCCATTTCAGGATAGTCCTGCAAGAGCTCAACAAATAAATGAACTCAAATACATCAACATAACATATCAACCATTGTTTTGCTCAACCAATTCTCCATACCTTGGATGAGTCAAGAATCAAATCAGGTGAGATCCATATCTTTTCAGGATCTGTCTCCATAATGGTTGTGCTATATAGAGACATCGGATTCGTATCATACGAGGTTGTCATCAAGCTCGACAAACAACTCCCATCTGCGAGGAAATTTGTCTGAGACGAATTGTTCGACATTTCATTTGCAACGACTAGTCTTGTCGACGTAGAATCTTCATGAGCCCGACTGGTGCCAACGACATTACCTTTCGGATCTCGATGATTCTCCTTTTTATGTGTTTGTTCTTTCCTTTTCAGAATTCGACACAAAGCAAAAGCACCCTAAAAGAAAAAACAAGCTATGAAACTGCATTATAATCTGATAATCATCATGTCATGAGTTCAATCATATAAATACCTTCAAGTTAGGAGTTCCATGAGAGAAATCATCACAAAGTCGATACTCGTGCATAACCCAATCCATTCGATCGCCTAACGGCGCTCGACCACGATAAAAAACGAGGGTCTTTCGGTATCCTATGACAGAAGATTGGCAGTGGATCTTCCTGTCTTTTCCGGTGGCTTTCCAGTAGCCAGCTTTGGTAGCTCTATTAGTTCTTGATCCATTAGGGTATTTTCGATCGCGTGGACAGAAGAAAAACCACTCCATATCTCGTTTTGGAAGGAATGATTTCTCTGTAATCACAGCAACTCAATGTTACAACAACAAAATCATGAACAAAAACAGGGGAATTGAAACAGAGTTCAAAACAGAGGATTCAAAGTTCGATTTAGAAGCAAAAGGAAAAGGGAAGAAAAGGGTGTAAATGAGTGATACCTGGGAGTTCCCAAGGATCAAATTTGTACAAATCAATAACAGGAATGACTTCAAGCTCAATTGGAAGTCCTTCAACTTTTCTCTTGAGATAATAACCCACCAATTCTTCATCTGTTGGGTGAAATCTGAAGCCTGGTGGAAGAGAAGCACTTCCCATTCTCTAAAGAAAAACAAAGAAACAGCGAAATAAGGGGAAATGAAGTGTTTTTTGATGGGGTTTCTGCGTTTTTCGGCTAAGTATTGAAGCTGTTTCTATTGAAAATGTGGAAGATCCAGAAATAGAAGCTCTTATCGACGATAGATTTTTTGTCGAAAACAGAGTGAAAGCTCCACAGGCTGCTGATGAACCTGTTCAGTTCAAGAATCATTGTCTGTAAAAATGTCGTTTTGAAGTTCTGGGTATCGAGTCAACCAGATTCCCCACAAACCCTTTTGATTCCAAATCAGGATTTTGAAGAATGAGCCAAGAAACTTGGTGGGATGTTTAGAAACAAAAACAGGGGAAGTTCTAAAATTTGAGAAGAAGGGATGGGTTTTGATCTTAAGAGAGTGTAAAAAGAGAAGGAAAGAGGTGAGATTTATATATAGGGCTTTGAAAAGAACAAACACACCGAAAGTTTGAGATAACTTGTCCCAACCACACCCAAAATTCCAATGTCTAAATCCCCATAAACCCTTTTCACACTTCTTTTATACACAACCTCTAAAGACATCCAACGGTTACCACACTACTTTTAAAACGTCGAGGATGATATTTAAATAGTATTTCTTCTCAAGATCACACACGCCTGTTTGAGTTGTTACAAATGATATCAGAGCTAAACATTAGACGGTTATGTCAATCAAGAGGAGGAGATCCCACATCGATTGAAAAGAGAAACAAAGTATTTTTCACAAGTATATAAGACTAACGACTATGCATAAATGTATGACTAGTAGTGAACTTGAATTGTCAAGGTGAGGGGGCCATTTGATTTTCTTTCTCCCTCTCTTTTGAGAGGTTCTGTACTTGCAGAGTAAGTTCAGTCCACGTCATTTGTGAGTGGGACAAAATACTTTTGCCTTATTTTTCTTTCTAAGCTTTTGAAGCTTTGTCATCTGTAGGGCCCCATGCCCTCCTCCCAAAAGACACACCCTTAAAAATGTGTTCAACAACTCTTTTTTTTTTTTTTTTTTTGGATTTTTTTTTTTAAATTAGTTCAAAAGAAATGAAAAGAGAAAATTTAAAAGTTAACATTATTAAGTAGCTATGTTTGTAAATTCATTATGGTATTTTTAATAAACTATGGTTGTACATATTAGGATAATGTGTGGAAAAAGAAAGGGAATTAATTAGTTAAGACTAAGGTTAAAGGAATAATATATGGTTTTATAATACATTATTGAGCTTATAACTATTTTATATAATATGATTAAATACCTTACTTCCTGTTTGCAAAAGGCATGAAAATGACTTTAAATTCACAACTTTCCTCCCATTTATTTTTTCTCTATTTCGTAATCGGGACACTAATCTCATATTTACATGACCACCCATCACTGTCATCTTCACGATTTAAAACGTATTTCCTAGGGAAAAGTTTCCACACTCTTAATAGGAATATTTTATTATGATCTCACCGTTCAAGTTGACTAAATTTATCTAATCAATTTTTGGAATGAACTCGAGTATCTCTTTTGTTTAATTTTTGTTAAAGATACTTTTACGTATATGTAACATCATATTTTTGACATATAGTTTGAAGTTCACATTTTCATAATCAAAATGATTGTCTATCCCTTTAATTTTAAAGACATAAAGCAAGAGGCAACCAATTGATTTATGGAGCGAATTGATAGCGCACTATAAGCTTTATAAACAATTATTACAATTATACTTAAATTCTAAATCATTCTTAAATTATGAAATTTTACGCAATTGTGGTTTTTAGGTTAATTAAATTATTTTTATTAGGCGACGAAAAAAATTTAAAAAAAAATATTAATATAAATTAACTTAGAAGACAAATTGTAATCCAAAGTGGAAAAGACAAAAATAATTAAAATTGAATTGGCCTAATACAATCGTGACGCACACAAAGTGGCAAAGGTTTGTGAATCAGACATGTCCCCGACATTAATTTATTATCTTTTCTATTTTACTTTTTATTATTTTTATTTTCACCAACCTGTCAGCATCATCCAACAAAAAAATATATATATTAATAAATTTTTTGTTTTTTTATTAAATTAAAATTTTAATTCCCTTAAGATTAATTAAAAAAAAAAACTAAATTTACAATTTAATTATAAAAAAAACTCATTTGTATGATAAAACAACTTAATACAACTTCATCGTCGCAACATGAAACTTAATTGTGTAACTTATGCACAGTAGAGTATAGTTATTATATCAATCATATAAATTATGAGAACGATCACTCAAAATAAATAAATACATAACAAATAATACTATAATGAAGATATGTATGGGACAAGTTCCCAATATTAATATAAATAATCATTCTTTTTGGATAAAACATGTTTAAAAGATTTAATAGGTAATATCCACTTTATTAATTGGATTGATACAAATATATATATATATTTATGGTCAAATTTAGGGAGTGGATGTAATCAATTATAAATTAATTTGGTCAAATTATGGGATTAAATACAGGTAACGCAGCCACTTTATAGGAATAAACACAAAATTAAACTTATGTAATGATAATGTCTTGTTATCTAATCTCTTCTAATAAACCAACTGATTTGGAGTCGGACTTTATGAATATACTGTTAATATTATAATTATCCTTTTGTTGACTGTCATCTAATTAGTCAAAAAAGAATCTTTGATTAGGATCAAATCTTTGACATTTTATTTTGGACGGTTCCATTGGTCTATGTTGAATCTTGGGGAATATTATTTTAACTATGCCCGAGTTAGAAATGTATTCAAATCTTATAAATTATTTCTCTCCAACCAAGAAAAGAAAAACTTTTTAATGGAAGAGTGTTGAGAGCATTTTAAAGGTTAGAATTAATTGGATAAAGTGGAATCAAATTTAGGCACATGTAAGAGTAAAGTGTTCATATGACTTGAAAACTCGACCAATTTGGACTATTCAATCTAAATCATAAAGGTTGAGTTGGATTGGGTTGGGTTGAATTTTTTGCAAAAATGAAAATTCCGATCAGTCGATTCATAGGTTGACATTTTGACCAAAAATAAAATTCTAGTCCAACTCTACCTTACTTTTAAAATTGTTATGAAAATTAACCAGATTTGATATTTGATATTTATGAGATTTTAGTTATTAATATAATAAGTGTTGTGAGTAAATAAAATTTTAGGTTGAGTTGGGTTGATTATAAATTCTATTTTAGTTGCTCGACTCACAAATCTAACTCATTTGAAATTTTGAATGATTCGAAAATATTTTCTCAAACTCAACCCAACTCAACTCAACTCAACTCGTGACACCCCTAAACTATACAAACGGGTAGGTGGCCTAAACCATGATGAAAGCCCGTCCAGAGCCCCCAAAGCCCAATTGTTTGTTTATTCCTATATTTTGAATACCAAAACTAGTCCTCATGCCTGCACATAATCATCATCAACCAAACACCCTCCACAAGAATCTCATGTATGTTCCGTTTCGTCTTCCACTCCATCAGTGCCGTTGACTCCGTTTTCACGCTCAACAACGGTATGCTCGACTGCTGTTTTTGCCCTGCTTCTGCTGCCGCCAATGCTAGCATGTTGCTGGCTTGCTTTCTGTTTGAGCCGCGGCTGTGATTTATTGGCTTTGTTTAGGTCTTCTAAGGCTTCGTGAAGATGGTTCGGGAGGATCTCTAGTGACCAATGTCGTCGATTTCATATGTTGTTTGCGAGTTCGATGAATGATTTTTATACTTCTTTGCAAAACAAAACAACAAAATACAAAGTTCTTAGGTGTGTCAAATCATGGTATACTTTAAAAAAAAAAAATTATTAGAAGAAGTTGTCATAACATGATTGTCACTCAGAGTGTGATTTTCAACACGTTGTCAACTTGATAGCTCGACATGGTTATGAGATTGAATGTCACCCTTCTATAGTTATAATTCTTCTTTACTCTCCAATAAAAAAATTAAGATAATTAAGAACCAAATAAATTAAAAGGAGGACTAAATCAACAATTTGATTAATAAAATATCTTTAAAAATACTAATTAAAGAGTAATTAAGTTACAATTTAGCAATAATAAAAATAATATCTCTTATTAGTGTTCATATTTTTTTATTGAGTAGTTGTTGAAGAAGACCATGAGCTTAATTTTAAATTTTTTACCTTTTAGAAAAAGATATTTGATTAATTGAATAAGAATCAATTGCACAGACTTTGAAATTAAATTGATTTGGAGAAAAAAAATATATTATTTTTTAAATAATTTTCAACCACGGACAAATCTTTCTGACTTGAAATAATTGAGGGGAAAAAGATTCTCAATTAAAATAAATGAATTAAATTAGAGAGGTTTATAGAATTATTTCATTTAGCCAATATATTTAGCGGTTCTCTCAATCTGAAACGTCGTCGAAAAGGGCCATCAAATGGGAGACTTTTTGTCAATGCTTAAACAATATTGTATCGGAAGAGATGATTAAATAATATATTTAATAATTAATTAATTTATTTTGTGAGGACAATTTGTAATTGGGGTAAGAAGAAAATGAGAAAAATAGAGTATAGGATAATTAAAGGGTATTTATGGGAGGTGAGGGGTCATGGGCAGCTTGTGAATAAAGATGAATATTGATTACTTACCATTTAATAAACTCATTTAATACAATAAGAAAAAGGAAGGAATTATTATTGTTTGGAACAAATATTCAAAATATGGTACAAATAAATCTTTTTTTATTATCATTTCAAATCATTATTTTTTCTTTTTTTAATATTTAACTTTAATTTAATTACAAATTAGTAATTTGAGAGATAATTCTACAATTGACCCATTAATTTTAAATTGGGGTGGTGGAGTACACAGCAAGCAACTGGTTTTCTTTTTTGTCTCTTTTTTTAATTATTTCTTCACGAGTGAACTGTGAGAAGTCTACCATGGTTTGTTGCCTGATTTGACCTCACCATGCTAACATTTTTATGGATTTAAATTTAATTTTAAGTAATTTCTGTTTGATAATGAAAGTTAGAGGGACATAAATAAATAATATAATACTCTCTTATTAATATGAGGAGAATAAACAGAGTCACGAGAGCTTATGTTTAAAAAAAAAATCTATATATATTAATAAAAATGGTTAGAAAAAAAAAAAAAAATTATATATTCTCTCTTCTGACTATAAATTAGACGATAAATTTGAAAACCAAGAAATGACGCTTACAGAGCCCAGAGGAAGATCAAGAATGAAGTGAAGAAGAACAATCGTCATGGATGCGACCTTCAAGCAAGACCCGCTTTCGTCTTCCTTCATAGACACTGTCAACGAACTCACAAGAATTTTCCGATCACTTCCGGCGAGGCCCTCCATTGAAGAGGTTGAAGCAGCTGTGGTGATTCTGAATACAGTCCAGAACGAAGAGGATTTCAAATTGGGGGAAATTTCAAAGCAGGAAGTTCCTGAAAATGTCCCCGAAGAGCTCTTCTCCATTTTGCAGCAGATGAGGAAGACGATGGTGCTGTATGAGAGCCATGAACAGAGGCGAGAAGCCATTCATTTGATTGAGCTCGATAACATTCTTCGAACCTTCGATGAACTCATTCAGAGATCTTCTCTATTGGTTTCTGGCGATTCTCAAGCCCACTGCCCTCTGAATTTGAGTGATTCAGTCGACAAGGTTGCGAAAGAGGCTCTAATTAGCCACCAAAATTTGGAGAATAAAACGGAAAATGGAGAACTCGAGAGCAATGGTAATAAGGGTTTTGTTAACAGTTTTTCTTCAGGTATATTTCAAATTATTCTCTGTAGTTCTTTTCATTTTGATATGAAGTTCTTTGTACTTAACTATTCATTCACGAAGTTATGAGAGCTTTGATTTGAGTTTTGAATCCTGATCCATAGGCTTCTGCTGAAGTTAGTCAGAAATTTTGATTCTGATTTTATCAATTAATTGATGTTTGAAGATATGCTTTGATAATATAATAGGGCGTTGAATATGAACAAGAATGAAGTTCAAACGTTCATAAACATACTGTTGACAAAACATAATCCATTGAAGAGATAAAAGTTGCATAAATAGCCTTTTTCCAAACATAAAAGGATATTATGTGATTATGTGTAGGTCTGAATCGGAAATATTTTGATGAATCATGGCTCGGGACCGACCAAGACTTCGTGAATCCGGGATTAGTATCTCGAATCCGAATGAATGTTAAACTAATCTGTGATTTGGATGGTTGGTTTAGTCAATTTGAACTTTATTTAGGGTAGAATTTGTTTGCCATGGATGCCAAAAGTCAAGAACTTCAGTTCTTATCCATATCTTTTCATTGTCTTATTAAGTTTGTTTGTTTGATCTGTGTTAAAAAGGTAAATTGAGTTCGATGAAAGTTGCTGCTCTTATTGAAAGCATAGCTAAAAGTGGGTCAACTGTTCTTAATCTGAGGGGCAAGTTAATGGACAAGATGGAATTGCTTCCACTTTCAATTGGGAAGTTATCTGATCTTGTTGAATTAGATCTATCAGAAAACAAGATCATGGCTCTTCCTCCTGGAATTAGTGATCTTCGATCGTTACAAAATTTCGACATCCACTCGAACCAATTAATAAACCTTCCTGAAACATTTGGGGAGCTTGTGAATCTCACCTACGTTGACCTCCATGGGAACAGGCTAAAATCACTCCCAGCTTCTTTTGGGAACCTGAAAAACCTTATTACGCTTGACTTGAGCTCCAACCTTTTCACCCATTTACCAGATATCATTGGGAACTTGAGTAGTTTAAAGAAGTTGAACGCTGAAACCAATGAGCTTGAGGAACTTCCTTACACAATTGGATCATGTTTGTCACTTGTGGAGCTTCGGCTGGACTTCAATGCGATCAAAGCTCTCCCCGAGGCGATCGGGAAGCTCGAATGCTTGGAGATTTTGACCCTACATTACAATAGAATCAGAGGACTGCCAACAACAATGGGGAATCTGCCTAAGTTGAAGGAACTAGATGTCAGTTTCAATGAACTGGAGACAATCCCAGAAAACTTGTGTTTTGCTGTGAGCCTACGGAAGCTGAATGTTGGGAAGAACTTTGCTGACCTGAGAGCCTTACCAAGATCAATTGGGAACCTGGAAATGCTGGAGGAGTTGGATATGAGTGCAAACCAGATAAGATTCCTGCCGGACTCTTTCAGGTTCTTATCAAAATTGAGAGTTCTACGAACAGATGATACTCCATTGGAAGAACCACCACGAGAAGTTCTTGAATTGGGCGCTCAGGTAAAACATTACTTATATCAACTGCTTAGTGGGTTTGTTCTCTGATCTCAGTATTTACCATGAACTTTGCTTATCAGGGTGTTGTAAAGTACATGGCTGATGCGGTAGAGAAAAGAGGCATAAACTCTCAACCAGCTCAGGAGAGGGGGTTTTGGATATGGTTTTTCTCCATATGTTGCTCCAAAACAACAAATGATACACCAAACCACAAGTTATCTACTGAAATACAGCTTTAGTTTTTTCATTTTTCCATTGAAAATATGGCTGTGTGTGTATTGTATAGGGGTCGGTTAGCTCGAACTTGTAGATGAGTATTGTTTGTGTAAAGTGGACGAATTAGTCTCAATTTCATAAGCATCGTTCTTCTCTTATCGACCTACAAATATTCCAGTTTTGCCAATTTGAACACCGTTAAAGAAAGAGATTCGATTCGTCTTGCTTATGTGCTTGCTTATTGGATTGAGTGCGGGGTAGATGCTTCTGACCGAACCGCTCTTTGCTTCACCCAAGATGCTGTTTTATTCTATGGATTATAGAAGTTAACATTCTGAAGGAAACCACGATTTCGTTAGTGTTTCGGGAAAAGGGAAATGAGGCGTTAAGAAAACGAAAACAAAGCGCCCCTGAACCTCTTCTTTATGGTCTCGTGGCTTCGCCCCTGAACCTCTTCTTTGTGGTCTCACAATTCCATTGCCTGAACCTATTCTAATTGAATGGACTCTCCTTCTTTCACTGTAAACTCGGTCTCATCGCCCCTCTCCTCTTCTCCTCGAGCAACTTGACTTATCAACCCGGATCTTACAGAAATCAGTCCCCCCTACAACTAGATACTTGATGGTGTACAATCCTTTCTTTCCTCTTTCTAGCGCTTGAACCAGAATCCCATTTTCTTTCCAACCCCTACCCTTTCCCTTTCAGTCAAGCCTTTGTTAGCCCTTTCCTCGAGGAGTCGAGCTGCCTATCTTCTCCTCGAGCAAAGGCTGGAATTAAAAATAGTATAATGTAGTTTTCAGCGGTTAAAATGTAAATAAGCCATTAGAGCTATGTGTCCAAAAAGAAAAGTTTTTTAACACTTTCTTGCCAATCATTGGTGTGAAGATTTACTCATTCATATGTATATATTTCAATTAATTCTTTGAGCGAATCGATAAAAATATAAAAAATGTTTCTTTTCTTTCCTGATCCATTCATATTTTTTTTTTTTTTTTTTTTTTTTGAGNTTTTTTTTTTTTTTTTTTTTTTTTGTTGGAGATTCAATGTGAACATTCAAGATGATAATTGGAATCGTAATCATATCTCTAAACCGATTTTTTAAAAATAAAATAAAATAAAAATTATGAATAATCCACCAATTTTATTTGGCCATTTTGTAAAAATGTGCTGAAACATGACATGTTTGATTTAATATATGTTCCAAAAATTTAATGTCTTTATATGGTTGGAGTTTTGCAATAGATGGACATATCAAAAAGGGTATTTTTTTTTTTTTTAATGATCATGTGGATTAGTTTTTTGATAAGATGAAATCCGTTTGAATTGAAATTAGACCAAACAAGTGAATGTCTTTATTTAGAAATTTTAATTTTAGTAATAATAATAATAATAAGAATAATAATGAATGATGTGAAAATGGGACTAACTATGAAGGCATAACTTTGTGGATTTGGAACTCTTTCCATTTTCATTTATACCAAACCAACTACGAATCAATATTGTCTAGATCTGTACTATCGATCAAGCTCGTGAATTTGGAGAATTAAACATTTCTTATTATGAGTGTGGAAACCTCTTTTTAATAGACGCGATTTAAAACTGTGAGGTTGATAGCGATACATAAAAGGTCAAAGTTGACGATATAAAAAATCATGTCAAAGCTACAAATAGTTGTAATTGAATGGTGGAAAGGAAAACGCCAAAATAGTATGAGTCATAGGACAAAATTGAAGTAGTTTTCAATTGGTCCATGCGTATATCACATTTGATACAACTGTAGATCTTGATATTGCTCTTCCACATCGCTTTGATATCGACAACCCCTCTTCGAGATCTCTACTCAATTTTGCTTTTTTCCTTCACAATTTACTTCTTCATGTGTTCATATCGTTTCTCCGTATCCAACTTTTTCAAGTCTCAAATAAATATATATTGAAATCAAAATATTTTAAAAAAAAATTAGGGAATATCCAGATGGATGAATTGCAAAAGGTAAGAAGAGAAAAGGAATAAATATTTAAAAATAAATAAATAAATAAATAAATAAAGGAAAAAGGCAACAAAAGTAAATTTAGTTGTCCTCTTTTCTATGGACCTTCCAATGACTTCACACTTTTTGAAAGGTTAAGATACCCATACCTCAATTTTTTCTCTTTATATTAATAATTCATTTAAAATTTTAATAAATAGGAATAATTAAATTATTGGACCAAGAAAAATATAATACAAAGTATGTTATATTATTAACATATAATATACCCATCACTACTAAAATAAATATTTGTCAATCACTAACTAAGAAATTTACTGAATATTTTAATATAATTAGAGAATTTGTTTAAAAGATTGAGTGAAGGCAGGTGCATGCTGTTAAATATGATACAAACTATCATCTAATATCTAAAGATAGAAAAAATATATAATTAACTAAATCTTGTAAATAAATAAAATATATCGTTAATTAAATCTAAATCTAATCTAAAATATACTATTACCCGATCCCTAAATATCTCAGATATACTTCTAACTAATTATTAAAATATATCTTCAAATATCATATCTTAATGCGTGTACTTTCCACACACCACACTATATGGATATCAAACTATTTTATCATTGCCCATGACTTACACATGTTTTTGTAACAAAACGCAAAGTAAGAAATCCGTCAAGATTGAGACTTTAAGGATTTTGAACGTGAAGAAAAAAAAGTAGGAATGTTCATATAATTTAGCAAGTCGGGCAATTTGGACTACCCAATTTAAACCTTAAATATTAGATTGGATTTTTTTTTATTTAGATTGAATTAAAATTTTTGGACAAATGAAAATTCTAAGGTGGCTAGTATGTGATTTTTTGTTGTCGGGTCAACTAAAAAATAGAATTGCAATTCAATTCAATTTTATCGAGCGGTTAAAATTACTATGAAAATTAAGAATATTTAAAGTTTACGTGTTTGAGGTTTAAAAAATCCAAACTTTTGAGAGAGAGAGGAAGGAAAGTGAAAAGGTAGAAATAAAATGGAGAAATGGGAAATAGTGCGTGACGCGGCTGATCGACAGCCACGAGTGTTCCGATGACAAAGGAGCGTGTGGCCCTTTGCTGTCCCCACACTCACGTGTAACGTGTGTGCCAGATGCCTTCATCACCCAAACTTCAACTAAAACCAATTCCAATAAAGCTGCCCTCCATGTCTCACCAATGCCATCCTCCTCTGTCGTCACTTTATTTCATTAACAAACTAATTATCCAACGTCAATCCTTTTTGACGTTACGATGCTGTTGCACGGTTGAAGAAATACGATCATGACACCATGCATCTCATAAGCTTGGATACTACACACTTCAAAAGCAAAACTCTTTTACCTATCCGATCTTATCCAATTATCTACCGTTTTCTGGGCGCTTAAAGAACTTTAATCTTGTTTTAACTTAATTGATTGCGTCATTGTTTGGCTACAAGTTTAGCAAAGTGTCTGGAGTTGAAAAACAAGATTGGATTGAAAAAATTCTTATTTGAGGGATTGAAAAGGTGTTCTGTTCAAAATCTTGACAAGGAAGTTTCTGAAGACAAGAAGGGAAAAGGACAAAGCTAAATGGTAAGAGACAATCAAAGTGTTGAAAGTTTGTGTAATTTTTACATTCCTTTTCTCTCTCTCCCTCTCATTCTATCTAATAAAGTTGCAAAAATGTATGAATTTGCCCCACTGCTCACTGCTCATTTCATTGCCCACCAAACTTGCTTTGGCTTTTGCAACCTTTCCTTCCCCTGCTTCTTCCTTGCTGCCTTTCTCCATATATTTTCAAGCTTAATACAATTACATTCTCTGTTCAAGGTTTCTACTTTTCATCCTCATCAAATTGCTTCCTTTCATTCAAATTTCTATCAAGTCTCTACTTATTCTGTGTTTTCTTTGCACTTTCTGAACAGGCTCAGATTCAGAAAGCTTTTTGCATGGGAAAGTAGCTGATATTGTCTGTTGCTGAGGCAGCGAGCGAGCGAGCCAGCGAGGTTTTAAGAGCTTGGTTGAAAGAGAAGTAGAGGAGATTCCCCTGCATCAAGCTGCAAAATGCCACCAGTTCCTCTTGCGCCATATCCAACTCCTCCGCCGCCTTATACTCCACCTGCTAATAGTACTCACTCTCTTCATCTTAACTACATTCTAGTGTGCGTGCTCACAAAATGTGTTGATTGCCCATTTTCCAACTTTCTGGTTGGGAAATCTATTGAATTTTCTTTGCTTTCTCTCCCTTTTGAATTTGTTCATCGTCCATTTGAGCTTTGTTGTACACTTCACTTTCATAGCCAAATGGGTCTGCTCTTCTTGGCTTAGAATTCGGTTCTGTGAGAAATTCTGCAAGAAAGACAAGTTTTTTAAATTAGATTGAATCTGCTATTCATAGATCAGTGTTTTGTTATTGATTCTCAACTGATGTTTGAAATGTGCATTTTGTTGGTAATCAGCCGCACAGAGCCAGCTTGTGTGTTCCGGATGTAGAAACCTTTTGCTTTATCCTGTTGGGGCAACCTCTGTTTGCTGTGCAGTTTGTAATGCAGTTACCGCCGTTCCGCCGCCCGGTATTTCAGTTCTTCCTCCTCTTCTTTACTGTCTCCGTTGGTTTCTACTGTAAGATCTCACATCGGTTGGGAGGAAAACGAAACATTCTTTACAAGGGTGTGGAAACGTCTCCCTAGCAGACGCCATTTAAAAACCTTGAAGGGAAGCTCAAAGAGGCACGGTTTTATGTGTAAAACAGGCACAGAAATGGCACAACTGGTGTGTGGAGGCTGCCATACTCTTCTCATGTACATTCGCGGTGCTACCAGCGTGCAATGTTCTTGTTGTCACACCGTCAACTTAGCTTTGGAAGGTATGGAAATCTAACCATTTTAGAGAGTGATTTTTGTCATCTTGAACAAATCCTGGTAACTTTACGAAACTTGAATCACAATCATGCTTGACATCTCAACAATCATGTTTTTTTTGGGTTTTCTCTTTTGGGGTTCACCTCTAAGTTTTTAAAACGTGTCTGTTAAGAAGAGTATTTCACACCCTTATAAAAAATAGTTCGTTCTCCTCCCCAACCAATGTGGGATCTCACACATTCCTAGCTAATTCCCATCACGAACAGCAGCATAATCATGTGAATTGAGCGAGAATTGTACACTGTTACAGCGAATCAGGTGGCGCATGTGAGCTGTGGGAACTGCCGGATGCTACTGATGTATCAGTATGGAGCACGTTCAGTGAAATGTTCAGTGTGCAACTTTGTGACATCAGTTGGGGTCAGTATAAAGCTTCCATTTTGTTCAATCTTTCCACTGTCAATTCTTACTAAGCCACACATTCTTGATTGTCTTTCTTTGTAGATGTCGACAAGCGCAGTCGATCAAAAAGCCTAACAGCTAAAGTTATGGTAAACATGGTTGTCCCCGACTCGACAACTGTGGCTTTGCATCATTCGTATCGCCCTCCGCCATGTTTGATCAACTCGACAAGCGGAGGTTCCTCTCATATTCACTTGTATAGAGCTGTATTTCTGCGCGTGAACATTAAATGTCGTTTTTTTTTCTTCATCTTCACAGTGCTTGAATGATATTTGCATGGTTTAAGTAGTTTTGGGCAACAGTTTATACTGTGATGAGTGTAATATAAGTGATGGATAAAGATGGAGTTTGGTTTCTTTGTGAACTGCAGAAAGAGAGTCAATATGAGATATCAGCTTTTTGACTTGTCGACTGTTTGCTTCATTATCACTACATTATGCTATTTAGTCAATTCAGATTCCAACTGACCTGAACCATGTGAGTTCTGCTCAGTTGGGACCAAGAGAAAGAGAGAGAATGAAAGAATAGGACTAAACTACAACCTTTGCATTTAAGTTTTGAGTTTTCTCTTTTTCATTGGAAGAGAGATTAATCTCTGGCAATATCTCACAAATTTGTAGTTGAGGATGTGTTAATCAATTGAGTTATACTCTAATAGACGATTACTATTGGAAGTTAAAAACCATAAGATAAGAACTGTCAAGGACCAAAATAAAAAGTGAGTAACACAGGTGGTCCCTGTGACGGGGTCGAGTGAGCTTAGAGAGCTACAAGCATATAGTGAAAGCATCCTAAGGAAGCTAATTACACAACAATAATTGTCTCTTTTTTCATTCACATGGTGTAAGTTATCATGTCATCAGATGAATAGGGCCCCTGTGGGTGCTGAGATTGTCCAATGTTTTGCCATCAAATTTTAAGCAGATCAGTACTTTTTGATACTGCAACCAAAAGTGCCTCACCCCACAAATGAGTCCAATCTCTACCCTTTAAATTGCTAGAATGCAATGTGATTTATCTATTTTGCACTATGAAACCCAATAGAGGCTCCCAAGGTGGGTCAATGTGTTGTGCAAATCAATCTAGATCTAGTAATCTTCATTCAGATCGACCCTTTAATGTAGCAGCTCGTTGATCTTTCAGTTAAAATAGATGGTTTGATACGTTGTTATATAACAATTGACTTTGATTAGAACAGAACGGTACATGGGTCGCCATTGGCATACAAAAGATCATAATCATGCATGTGAAGGGGACTAAAGTGGAGACAAAACAAGGCAAGCTTGCAATAGGCACCACAGTTTTGAAGGTCAAGCATTATAACGATTTGGAGAAAGGAGTGGGGGACCTGAATTATTGAGCAGCAAAGAGTAAGTTGATAAGGGAATCTGATTTTCCATTGATTTTCCTCTTCTGCTTGGAGTTCTTCAAGCTGACATTGACCTAACAACTTAGAAAGAAAGCATTAGTATGAGGAAATGGCATATGAAAAGATGCCACTTTTTTATTCTCTCCCAGTAGACAAGTAAGAGCAAAACAGCAAAATGTGAGGTTGACAATAAGAGTCATTGTCCAACACAAAAAGTAGAAAAAAAGAATGTCCAAGTCGTCTAAGTAAAAACAGAGTGTGCTTAGCCAACAAATCGAAGACAGTGTCATGAAATTGGAATAAGAAGACTTGAATTTAACCACAGTCATCATATGTCAATGCTTTGTGCAGTTGATTTGATCATGAATAGTCATGTCAACCAAATTGACAGCATTTTTCCTTGCAGGAGCACCTTTTGTGTAATAATGGCACCAACTCAACCAATCAAATATCCACCAATTTCCTTCAAGGTGCTCAGGGGAAGTTTACTAATCAAAAGCATACTCTCCTTTAAAATATCTAGATTTGTCATAAACTTTCATCTTTATGCATCCTTCATTAAAAAAATTACCCAAAATAGAGATTTTTTACCTGCTATTTTATATAATTTTTTAGAAAAACTTGACATGGGTCAATTACTTCCCCCAAACCTCTCTACTTTCTTTCATATCTCTAGTTTATTTTAGGATCCACAACGCAGGCATTCTGAGTCTCACAATGTAACAAGAAATTTGAAGTTGTCATCAAAGGACAGTACTTTCTTGCTCCAATTTTTACCCCTTTTTGGCCTTTTTTCCCTTACATATGTCTTGGACTGAAAATGTAGTAGTTTTGAGTTCACAATGAGGGGACAAACCTACAAAAAGAGAGGGTGTAGTTAGTTCAAGAGTAGACAAACTTTCTATCGACCAAGAAAAAGGCTTTTGGAGAAGCTTAGTGATGAAAGAAAATGTCAAAAAAAAACAGTGGTTATTACTTTGAATCTCCTATGATATTGACAGTCAAAAACCATACAAATAAAGAAAGGATTCGAAATAAACCATTCATGTCTCAGTCCATAGATCCTCCAGGATCAATAGTTTACTCATCAGCCATAGCCAATTCCAGAGCATAGTCATCTCTCTCCTGGAAATTTGAATAAATTGCTTAACATAACCGCAGAAAAAAAAACATGATTTATATTTCACATCTCCAGTAAATTTTGATAGATTTAAGGAAGTAAAGAACTTACAATTGGCCCCCGGGCAAAATATCTTCCAAATTGAAGCCAGTATACCTGCATTGTAGTGAATTTTTGCATGAAGAATGATCATAGCAACTCCAAATGTCTAATATATAAAATTAGGCAAACAAACAGAATTTGGGTTCAACTTAAGGAGTGGCAGATATTCGAAAACATACCTCATCCTCATCTTGTGTTTCTACTTCAACATCCGAGGTTGGAAAACCTACGCATAGAAGTGCATACCCCTGCAGTGTAGAGAATAATAAGGAATATCAATTAGCAATGCAGTTATCATCCAGAAAGTTGTCAATGGTTTTACTACTGCACTAACTTCTTCCTTTGTAATCACAGGTAAGCATTTTGGTAAATAGATATACAAATTGCAGTTTTCTTTTTCTTTAATTTTTTTGTACGATTTTGCCAAGAACTTCATATTCTGCTAGTGAGACCTGTAAAAGAATTCAAGGACCAGCTCTTGATTATTCTTCCTTTTCCTATCCAGTAACCAGTAGAATACAAACTCAACTATGTTATTCCCATCCTCAATGAGCAGCAGTTGCTTCTACCATACCAAATCAGGCTCAAAATTCATAAATAGAACGAAAAGCTTCCAGTTAAATCTTGACTGGAACATACCGATGCATAATCTAAGATTTTACTTCATGAAAAAAATCAAGTCTAGAATCGAGTAAAGGAATTGCCTTTGATTTCAACTCGGCAGATATTCCAAGGGCTTCAGGCTGTCTAATTTGGCCTGATTTTATTCGAACAGCACAACTAGTACAACAACCTGTCATAAAACAAATACTTTCAGAACATGACATGTACCGACAATGGAGATCAAAAGGATGCAGAAAATGGCTTCATTGCAGGGAAGAATCAGTTGAAAGAAGGACAAGAGAGCTTTTTCATTTTGAAATGGTTTTTGTTTGGTTGTAAACTATTCGGTTATTCGGTTTGTTACACGACAGGACCATGAACCTGCACTTACATTCTTTGACAGAAACCTAATGTAGGTAAATCGATGAAATGTACCAAAATTATAGATAGATTTTCTATACATGGGTGTGTATCTTTTTTCAAATCATAGCACATAATTCATCCAAAATGATCAATGCTTACCATAGGATACGTAATGAAACAACTTTAGGGGTAAATAAATCCACGATCTTAAGTAACTACAAATTTTTATGACAGATCTCAGTTTTCCAGTGACAGAGAACAGAACATCAGAGACAAGCGAAATTGTTTATCCAACACCCATACATTCAATGGTGTTTGCCATTAACATAATATTCAAACATGTCTTAGAGCAAGAATATGCAAAGTTCATCAATAATTGGGGAATTAGAGAACAATACCGTGCCTGCAAGCAAAAGGAAGGGATATGCTCTGAGCTTCGGCAGTGTGCAATATGTACTGATCCTGCAGTATTTGGATTTATTACCCGCGCCTCAAATTCATAACCATTATACAATAAAATACGATGTACAAGTACAAACTACAAATGGGGGGAAAAGAAAACTTCGAATCCCCAAACTCTAAACAACTTATAGTCTAAAAAGACAGGTGAAAAACATTTAATCGATTCTACAAAGCTGAAGAAGTTGCTCAAGAAGCGAAAATTAAATTAAATGGTCGGTGCCATTTCTAGGAGAGCAAACTGAAAATGGTGTCGTACCTCAGGAACAACGAATTCATGAACAACGCCTCTCTCTCTATCATGAACAGTAACCTTATGAGTCGGAATTGAAGCAGAACCGTTGTCGGTCCTGCCGGCGACGTCAACAGCAGCCTGAAGCTCAGTCGAGATCATTTTTGGGCGACATTTCAAGAGGTCGGAAAAGCGACGGTTTCGATTCGTCGAAAGGAAACTTCGGGAGGATTCCGGCTTCAGATTTACGGAACGGAAGGAAGTGTAGGGAAGAAGAACGTCCATAGGTAAGGTTGAATTTTTGACGCACCGGCGAGTTGTGTGAAGGTGTAGTGATGGATAACGTAATAGGAAAAAATGAAGAGGAAAAAGGAAGCAGTTATACGGTGTTACAGATTCTATTCCAATAATTTATAGTAAACGTATTAACTGTACATTTAGTTGACTTTCATTATCGAATAATTATTTTTCTCTATTTATTTAAATTTTAATAGGGATCATTTTTTTATAGAAAAAATATCAAGAACTAATCTTAAGCTTTATTAAAAATATAAATTTTAATTAAAATAAAGTTTATAAAAAAAAAAATAAAAAAAAAAAGGAAAAACACTACTTAATTTATGTACACCCAAATGACTGGTACAAGCTACAATGTAGTACACTGAGTATCAAGAAAACCAATAACACACAAAATAAAAATTAAAGTCGAATCAAATCATTAACTTTAAATGGTAAAAAAAACATTCTTGTGCATTTTAAGTTTATTTTCATCACATCCATAGATTCACAATCATCTTCGCTGACTATACTAAAAATCATCAATCACTCAACTTATACACCTAATACAGAGAGGAGTCTGTAAATGCAACCCTATCACAATTGAAGAAGAAGAAGAAGGAGTCAGTGCCTATTCCTGTGTTCTACTTATCTCCCATCTGTTGGGCGTCACAACATATGTTCAATGATCAGCAGTTCGATTGTAACACTTAAGAAAGAACCGTGCTAATACCAAAGCTTCTAATGTAAGGCCCACTTAACATAATTGATGCAACCTTCGGTACTCTCGAGGGAATAGGGAAGTTTTTTTGTAACCAAATGAGGCAGATCATCCTCATGAAATGACCACCACGTGTAATAAACTAATAAACTAAACCTGGAACACCATTGGCTGAAGGGATCATTTCTCAGGTTTTCTTTTTTCCTTCCCCTTCATACCAATAGCAATCTACCTTGATGTTCAATACACTGTTGGAGTTTACCCTCCTGCAATATAACCTGGTTCTTTACTTTAGCTAGTCTATTTCTATTGTTTATCTGAAACCGTGGATATGGCTTGTGATGGTCTGTAGTAGTACTGGTTGGCGTCTCAGGTAAGACCTCATCGAGGAACTGTTCAGCTACATCTCCATCTTCATCAACCCGAAGACGTTTGGCATACCACGTCAAACCCTGAATAAAGGAAATATATGGCAAAAATTAACACACATGCAACATGTCATCATTGCAACCTTGCAAATGACAAAAACCATCACTACACTTTGACCATAAACAAGTCCTTGTACCAATGAATGATTACAAGGAGAAGGAAAGCTTGCAAATATTATAAACCATGTAATGACTGGAGATCATCATGAGAACAGTGCAATTCATACTAGCCAAACGAAGCAGAGTTGAGGCCTCATTAAGATGATATCCCTCAGTACCCTACTTCTTGTACAAGCAAATTCTCAGAGGAGGAACTCACCCAACTTACAACATGACATGTAGGACCGTGCAAACATATAACGATACGGATGGATAAGGTGATGATTTCAATTGGCAAATCACTTTGGTGGAAAGAGAAGAAATAGCCTAAACCTTAATTTTGCATCAAAAGGTTTCTCGGTTTTAGGAACTACTCTGGAAATCATTTTGTTTGGCTCTGGTTTTAGTTTTCTCTTATTCCAGTTTCAGCTTAGTTAGAACGTAGGTGTGTATAACTAGAAATCTTCTTATAGCTAGAAGTGGCTTTAGGTTCTAATTTCTATGGAAAGTGAGTTTCTTAGTCACCAATGCCCTTGTAGACAGTCCGTGTAGGATTTGGCGTCTATTTAAGATTTAATGCAGCCAGTTTGAACATAGATACTATCATATGAGACTCAAAATCAATAAAACGGAAACGGAAATTACTTGCTTACGTTTATCTCTTCCTAGTTCAATTCTATTTACCCTCTATTGTTGCTTTTGCCTCTTATCTGCATGGTATTCATAGAAACAACACATAGATCTATCATATTCAATCACCCGCGCCTTCATTGGCAAGACAATCATAAGTTTTTTTTACGGTTGACAAGCATTTATAAGGGAGGAATTAGTTGAACAAAATAATGGCGAAGATTAAATACAGTTGACAAGCATTTATTATGACGAGGTTGCCAGAAAAACTTCATAAATGCCAAAAGAAAGCAATTTCGAAAAGAAGTTATGGCTACAGATAGCCTGAGCTAACATATACAAAAGTAAGAAACCTTTTGCAGAAGAAAATATAATTAGCATCCACCGACAAAACCAGGAAATCCAATAATCGACGTGGTATTGGAAGCAGCAGAAAATTTGAAACTCTTATTGACCTAGTTCGAACAATGACGATTACAGATTTTCGGTGAAACTATGTAAAAAAATCTCGCTCACTTTGACCATAGACTCACCGTAGAGAAAAATTGCGGAATTTATTCTGAAACACAGGAAAACACAAACAATCCAGCAGACATTCGAAAATTAAAAGACAACAAAACAGATTATAGAAAGAACCTGAACTCCACCATCGCCTGAACTAGAAGGAACAAGAATAGGGCCGGGTTGAGGAACATTGACAGCGACCTGGACAGGAACGCTGAAACCCCTCCGAGGACCAGTTTCCTGCATATGGACACGTTTGGGAGCCTGATTACCGGACTCAACTTCTTCGTCTTCGTTCTTGACGTCGTGAGCTTCATCCTTGGAAAACCCTAGAAATCCTGCAATCTTCCTCAAAAACCGCATCTCCAGACACTGCAACGATCGAACTGATCGAATCACAGATAGAGATGGAGAGCGTGAGAAAGAAAGAAAGAAAAAAAGAAAGCGGAATTTGATGATCTGGTTTCTGAATTCTGGGATCGTTGGAGATTTCCTTTTTATTATCCGTCTTCTTGTAGCTGCTTGTGCACTCACGATAAACTGCAACCGCGCTTAAGCCAATATCAATTTTTGTTGTTTTTAAAATATATATAAAAAAAATAATAATAATAATAAAATTAAAAAAAACCTACTTTTTCGAAATTTTTAATAAATAGCTTTCAAATATGATAATTTTTTTTTAAAAAAAAAATGACTAATCTATTTAAATATAATTTTTTTTTCTAGTTACCACGCAATCACTATATCACCGATAGATCTCTATTGTTGTCTATCAATAACAGATCTTTATCATTTATCTATTATTATTTTTTATTTTTATCACTAATTATCTCTATGTCTATTATATTTATCATTATTAAATCATTTTTTACGTTCTAGTAAACAATACCCCATGATATATCAATCAAGAATGACTTTTTTTTCAAATAAAATTTCAAAAAAAATTACCAATTTCAGTACATCAACACGTAACGATATAATATTAAGTTGAAGGAAATATTATCATAAAATTCACAACGTCGATCACAAACCAGCAATCAAAGAAATTCATCCAACAAACCAAAGATACTGATATCTTGGCAGCATTACGAGTAACTCCTCAACCGGGAGTTCCACCCGAGGAAGCAGGGGCCGCTGTAGCTCGAGTGTTCACTACAAGGCCTTGATTACAACAGAAAGGCAGCCACAAGGAATGATCTCGTTTCTCTAATGACTCAAAAATAAGCGGAAAGGAGGGAGTAAAGAATATAGAAGTTTGGCTTACATATGCTCTAACAGTATAAACAGCAAATAGCTATGCTCAAAGGTGTAGGACAACAAAACAAAAGCAACTAACATGCTCCAATGATCCATCAAAAACCACCTCCACTCTCTCCATCAACCTTCTCTTAATTGTCTTGAATAACGATGGTGGCGACGGGAATGTTTTGGTCATTCTATGTCCATCCAATCAATTTCTTTTCGTTCTTTATACTTTGTGGCTAGATCTTTGTAATTCTAACACCGAATCTCGTATGATCCAGCTTTAGTTATGTAACGAACCCATTCAACTGTGTTGTAACCACTCTTCTCCCACACCTGAAGAACAATTTGAGAATAAGGATTCATTTTGGGAAGATATTACTTGAGAATTTTCTAGTAATCAAACTTCGGGTCAGACATGTCTTAAACCCACTCACATAACTAATTTTCTGTAAACCTATTCATATGATTATCAATAATGCTAAAAAGACACTAGTAATTTCAATTTCACATAAACATATGGTGAGAAATTACATCTAGCATGCCCACCAGTGATATTGAGACTGACAAATTAAAAAGCCAGTCTAATGTTTGAGTGCTCCCACCTCAAGTATTCCTTTAAAGATTCTATCAGATCCGCTCAAAAGAAACATTCTTCCGACTATTATCATGCCATACACAAAATTGTTGCATCATGCAGAGTATTTATATACATATCGTACATCACATGCATGGACTACTCTGTTACCGAGTAGTAAAAGAAAAAAAAAACAAATACCTTAAGGAAACGGACACGTAAACCAGATGCGGTGAACATGGGAACCTGATACCCAAAAGGATAAATAAACATGTCACCACCAACATAATGATGAAACAGAGAAGAGAAATTAAAAACCTAATTCACAGGAACATCTGAACCATGTTTCAAATGGGAAACCGCTCCCAGTGGTAGCATTTTAGAATCTTTTATATATATATATATGAAACTGTTAGATGACAATATTTTAGAATGTTGTTTCTTCTTTTTTGCCTTTCAAATTTTTAGAAAATAAATCCATCTACGCATCATTTCTAAAATAGTATGCTAGGGTTAAATCATTGAGAACCTGAAACTCCATCTGAATTGGTGGCCGTGTCCAAGGTTTCCTTTCCGTCACTGTAGAAATCAGCTCAATTTCTGCACTCATGGTTGGCTCTGTTTGTCCAGGAAATTTTCTAATCCTATAGTTAACACAATTAGAAAGTTAAGCCACAATTGCAAATCATTAAACATGAGACTCAACATAATATACTCATTCAACAGAAGATTAAGATCTTGTGAGAAAATGGGAAGCTCTCTTAAAATATCATAGTGTAGAGTTTCTTAATTAATTTTAGAGTTGGAATTCTAGATTTGAAGACTATCAATTGGGATCTATCGAAAACAACTGTAGATAATATGACGAGGACAATGTAAATCCAACCTAATTGCACAAATAAGAGTATGCATGTATA